CCTAAAGAAAGCAAGGTCAATAAAAATATCACTGGTGTTAATATTCTTCCTTGGCCTTCTTGAAAGTGCATAGTTCACAGTTTACACTTAATTCCCATGTCACTATAGAAAGACCACAATTTTGGCCTTCTTAATAAAAAAGCTAACAGATAGAAAAGCCCTTGGCTCCTGAACAAACTCCCTGTATTCCAGGATCCCTCACCTTGTTTTCCACAGGCCATTATTTCCATCTCAATCTATGAATGTCATTTTTGAAATGAAAAAACCACACCACTTCTTGCTTGTACTTCCTCTCACTAGCTGTTACAAAAGCTGGCAGTACTTGGGCTTTGACCACCCTGATGAGCCATGCTTAGCCATGCTCCTTCAATATGTCAGTTGAAGAGACAAAGTTAGCAGTGAAACACTGGAAAAGGGGATTAATCCACTGGAGGCTCAGCAGGAAGAGAGACAAAGGTCTAGAGACTACCCTTCCATATCAACCAGATGGTTGTGGGAAATTCCAGTTTCTTTGTTCAGTTACTTTAATAGTACAGCCAAATGTGGAAAGAGATCCCTCTTGATCTGCTTGCACAGCCAGGTGTAGTGGACACCTGGACACCAGGGCTCAAGCTCAGTGCTCCGTCTTGACCTGGCACAGGGTTGTTCTGTTGGTTGGTGGAGAAGAGTCTGCTTTATGGCTTGGACAGCGTCTGACTCTCAGACCTTCACAGTGCTCTGTTCTGCTGTCTTACTTTGTGCTTTTCATGTGTTTCCTCTAAACTTTCCTCTGTGCTTATCTGTCAGCCACATACACATGCACTTATCACCCTGTTGCCTTTCAAGTTCATCTCTCCATCCAGACTGTTTATAGCTTCATTTTTACAGTCTATTTTCATGCTGCTTAAACTTTAAATAAAAGTTAAAGTATCTCAAATGGGAATAGATGGTCCATATGATTCAGCTTTTCAGAGTGCCTTTGTTGAAATTTCCTCTGAGTTCAAAGACTAGAATAGCTTCTAGACTGCTGCCTGATATGATACAGCCTCACAGAATACCCTAGTGAAACTTGGCCATCATTCTAAGTTACTCTGGGTCCCTTAAATACCCCTGTTGGGGAAGTCCTGCGTATATGTCAATAAATTACTGCTGGCCAACAGGAATCTAGATAGGTGGGGCTAGGAGTCCAGGAGGATTCTGGGAAGGAGAAACACAAGAGAGTCAACATGTAACGCCATGGGGTAGGAGCCCGGAAATATTCTCCGGTAAGAGACATACTTAGATTAACAACTATGGGGTAATTACTTAAAGCAGAGCTAGCCAGTAAGAGACAAGCAAGGCCAACAGCTTCATAATGAATATAGCCTCCTGTGTGTTTATTTGGGACTGATGCAGCTCTAGAACCAGGCTGGCGGAAAGGATTCTCTCAAAAGAAAAAGCTTCTCTTAACACCCACCAATCAGCAGGAATTCTAGAAAACTGTGCCCACATTTCCAAAATATGACTATAATGTTTCTTTCCAATAAAGAGGTGTGGTTACAAATCATTAATCCTTAGCTTTGTGTGAGCCCCATTTCCCACTATCAGGTCCTGGTTTCCCTCTCAATTTCAATTGCAGAGATCTGACTTCCTGCAGTTATCTTTAATGACAGGCATTTGGTCAGTGTATGTATGTCCCAGGCAAAAGCATTCCATCTAAGACATTCCAAGATATCCAAGGACATGGAATTAGCATACACCCAAAGTAATTGATTCATAGCTACCTAGATGGATAGAACAAATAAGCATGCCCTGGATTTCCCTCACTGGCAGATAGAGGAAAAATAACCTAAACTATCCCTGCACTAAAAGATTCTCAAACTTCTCATCCCAGTTTATATTCTACCTTAGAATATACTCATTCCCCTGAGAAGAAATGGTAATCAACCCCTTCCCTCATCCTCAGGCAAAAATAAACATTCCTGGAGAACCAATAGTTTCTCTTAATATATGTAATAAATGTTTCAATGATAACAAATACAGTGTGAAACTCATATAAAGAAAATTGTAATCGAATAACAAATTAAGGAAGTATAAGGAAGGAGACAGAACTTAAGTGCACTGAATAAAAGCTTGGAGCAAATACACACCTTGAAATTGCTTTCTATTGCTGTGATAAAACCCTAACTAGAACCAACATGGGGAAGAAAAGGCTTACTTTACACAACAGCTTGTGGTTCACCATCCAGGGAAGCCAAGGAAGCAGTTCAAGGGCAGAGCTTGAAACAGAAACCAGGGAGGAACACTGCTTACTGGCTTGCTCCCTGGCTGAAGCTCAGCTACTTTCCTTGCCCAACCCAGGCACTGCTGCCTAGGGATGACAGTACCACCCACAGTGGGCAGGCCCTCCTGTATCAGTTGTGAACCAAGAAAAAGTCCCAGACAGGCCCAGGGTTCTTAACTGGGTGTGAAGGTGGCATCCAAGATTCCCCTTCACAGTGTCCGGGGCAAAGGAGCTGGAAGAATTCAGGATACAGGATGTACCATGCCCTTGGCCCACCTGCATCTGCCTCTGCTGACTTTGGAGCAGTTAGAGAAGTCAGTCACTCTAAAGATGGGGAAATTCTGGTGATAGTCATTTCTGAGTGTTGTAATTCACTCATGACACTCTGGTCCTTGATACAGTTCTGTGCCACAGAAGTGGTAAGAGGCAAGGAGGAGAACAACTTAAAGATGCAGAGGAGAATATAACATTTAAAGACAGGGAAAGACCTGTCTCAAAGGCTAAGATGGAGAATGATTGAGGCAGACACATGGGTAGGTTTAGGAGGGGTATTCTTGGCATCACAATGCATTCATTTAGAGTTAATGTTACCTTGGAGACCCTCATAGGTTACCTTGGTGGAATGGGGGAGTATACACATCTGTAGGAAAAGTTTTTCTGAGAGCATACCTTCCGTCAGTGTTTAACTGATTCAGAAACTACAAATTCTCCTGTATAGTTTTATGTAACGTACATTTAAATTTAAAAAGAATAAATGAAAATATTATTTTAACAAAGAAAGTGTATAAATAGGGGAAATTTAATCCACTTTGCTGGATGAAGAATGTAGAGACAGAGATTTCAGACTTAGGCCAGATACATCAGCCCAGAATCAACTATAGATGGAGGTCAGAGCTTCAGTCTCAGAACACCAGAAGCACAAACTCTGACAGCAACATTTAATAAATGGGACTGTCTGAAACTGAGAAGCTTCTGTAAAGCCAAGAAAACACTTCCTATAGAATGTGAAAAGATCTTCAACAATACCACATCTGACAGAGGGCTGATCTCCTAAATGTAAAAAGAACTCAAGAAACTAGACAAAAAAATCAAATAATCCAATTTAAAAATGGGGTACATATCTAAATGGAGAATTCTCACAAGAACAATCTCAGAAGGGCTAAGATCAAACACACTGATGATAACTCATGCTGGAGAAGAAGTGGAGAAAGGGGAACACTCCTCCTTTGCTGTAGGGAATGCAACCTCTTAGAGCTACTGAGGAAATCAGTATGATGATTTCTCAGAAAACTATGGATGAACATACCTCAGGAACCTGCATTACCTCTTTTGGGCATAAACATAAAGTAGGCACATTCACACCAAAAGCACATCTGCTCAACTATGTTTATAGCAACATTGTTCATAATAGCAAGATCTTAGAAACAACCTTGATGTTCCTCAGCCAAAGAAAGGATAAGAAAAATGTACAATTCACAGTGGAGTTCGTCTCAGTGTTAAGAAAAAATGACATCCAAACATTGGCAGAAAAATGGACAGAACTAGAAAAGACTATCCTGAGTGAAATAACCAAAACCCCAAAAGACAAATACAAAATGTACTCATTCATAAGTGGACATAAAGCAAATGATTCCCAGTCGACAATCCACAACCCCAGAGAATGTAGCACCCTCTTCCAGAAATAGATAGAAGCAGATGCATAAATCCACACCTATTGTGCCCAAATTCTGAATACCAAAATCACCAAGAGACCTGATCTGATAAAAAAACAAATAGCCTTTAATTAACTAACAAGTTAACTGTATTAACTTGTCTGACTCAACATGTGGAGCAAAAAGGTCCCAGAGGGAACATGGTGCAGGGAATTTATTGGGGTAGATCAAGGGGTAGGGTCTGGGGTCTGCAGGAATCTCAGGATTGGTGCACTTCCAGTCTTGTGCAACCTGTCCTGTGTTTATTGGCCAACTGCATCTGGAAGAATGGTTGTTATGCTTAGAGGGTCTCCCATGGTGGCTGCGATGGTCTGTACTGCACTGTTACCATAAGTAAAGCACACGCAGAGCCCACCAGCTGACTTCGGGTTGGTTCCTTGCCACATGGAGGATATCTGGTATCCTAGTGGCTTGGGCAACATCGGGAGCTTGTCAGAAGCTCAGCACATGTTGTTGATTCAGGTCTACATATTGGTGGGTCTATTTTGCATTCTGTCATGGTTCGGTGAGGGTCTGGGCCCTTCACTAATCATTAGTTCAAGCTCCTAGAGTACAACTGAAGTGAGGGGGCAGCAATAATGTGAAAAAAGGAGTCAAGACCATGATGGGGAAACCCATAGAGTCAGCTGACCCAAGCTAGTGATAGATCATTGACTCTGGTATGATAAATTGGGAACCTGCTTAAGACCCAACAAGACTTCCTTAGCAAAGGTGACAGTGGTATGCCTGGGACATATACAAGCTCACTGGCAGTTTTTTCCAAGATCTATCTTTAATGTACAAACTGAGTTAGTGGAGCCTATTTTGTATGGAGAGATACCTTGCTCAGGGTAGAGAGAGGGGTGTGGGTTGTAGGGAGGTGCCTTGGCCTTGCATCATTGAGATAACTTAGTAGACTTCATAGGGGAGGGCTTACTCTCTGTGAGGAGCAGATGGGAGGGGGGAAAGAAGCAGGCAGATCACTTTGAGTTCAAGGCCAGTCTGGTCTACAAAGCTACACAAAGAAACCTTGTCTCAAAAGATGTTTAAAAATTACCATTGAATGATATATCATAGTCAGTTTAAATTGGAATTGGGTAGAGAAAAGAGAAGTACACACACACAACACACATAGTCACACAGAGAAACATATAAGATTGTACACATACATATAAGCATTGCGCAGTTCCTCGACTTCGGTCTCCGAGTCCTGCTGCGGCTCTCCCCCGGGTCTGTCCTGCCCCATGGTCTGCGTCTCCTCCGGCGGCACCACACCATCTGACTGACAGTCTGCACAGACTCCGACGAGGCGTTGGAGGACTTCTCTTGCCGCTGCAGCTCTGAGGAGAGGAGCTCCTCCTGGACAGGAGAGAGTTCTGACTCGGTGAAGACATCCTCCGACAGGGACTCCTCCGTGCTCCGGGGAGCCGTGCTGGCACTGTCGTACCTGGGTCGCGGGTTCTCGAGTCGGCGTCCTCAGCACCGGTTCCTGTCGTCTTCTTGGAATGGCAGATGTCCCTTCCTGACAACTGATCCATTTCTCTGTCGTTCAATAAAATTAAAAACTATTAGACACTAAAAATCTGTAACATGTTGCATTCCCCAAGCAGCTAATAAAATATCACAGAAGAGGCTTTTCAAAAAAGGTAAGGACTAGCTCTCAACAGAAAATAGAAATAACTGTGTTTTTCATATATATCAAGATTTTTCATCAGCTGTTTACTACTTGGGAAACACCAATGGAAGATGTCTTTGTACGTGATCTACAACAAAGTTTGATAACAGATTCTTGACGAGATTTTAGTACTGAACCAAAACTTTTGTTGGTAGAAGAAAGTGGTGAATTTTAATGCATCACCGCACAGGCAGGCCTCAGTTGCACGCAGAGGGAGGTGAGACTACACTACAAGCTATAACGCAATGCCAAGAGCAGCCGAGGACAAACATTTGCAGGAAATCCTAAACTGATGAGTTGAACAGTCCTAAGAGTTCGTTCAGTTAAAGAACTAGATAGTGAATGCTTTACAGCCGGGGCTCATTTCCACCCTCGTTAGCACTGGTTTAGGTGAATACCAATGCTTGCAAGTGGTCGGTTCTGGAGACAAGCATCATTAAAGGCTTTGGGCAAATACGGCTAGAGAACAAGTCACCTCCAAATAAGAGGCCTCCTGCGGATACTGAAGCTGATCAAGTCTCCTGATCAACTTTCTCGTGCTTTTCAAGTCTTTGTAACAAGACACACAGTTTTTCTAAGTGAGATGTGTGAAGTGTAGTTACTTTAAACAATTAGTTCAAGTGTCTTCTGTCTCTCTACTGTAGTCATTTTTTAAGAAACCCAGGCATCTAACTGGCAATACTGAATGTGAAATGGTGCCACCTACTGGTGATTTGCTTAAACTGCACCCACAGGGTCAAGGAACTGGACCCAAGCCTTGGGAGATTTTCCTGTATACACTTCCCAGAATCAAGAGACTAGCTGTTAATGGATTTTTTTAAGTATATTTATTTACGTGAGTTTTCTAGCCTGAGATTAATATTCTGAATGGCTAACCATTAATACTTACGGCACTTAACACAGTTCAGAACAGCACTTTAAAAATCAATTACCCAGACATTAAAGAGGTGAAACCCATTACATCTACTTTATTTCTGCAAAGCATTGCTCTGCAAAACCATTTGCTGCATTTATCTTCTTTGAAGCCAAATCCTGATTCCAATTAGCATATAGACCAAGACTTAAGGGTATTTCCTTCTGGTGATATTTTAAATGCGGGGACCCAGGTCCCTGTCTTCCCAGGTAATATGTTGAATGACAAAGCCACAGCCCATGTGGAAAGGATCCTGAAACGGAGCTCCTTTTCCCTCTGGAACTTTTCTCACCTGAGGTCTAATCTTTAAACTGGCATGGGGGGGCGCTCTTTTCTATCCCACATCAGTTCCTCCTACTTTTCCTTGGATGTTGCCTCTCCTTTTCTTTCTCAGTCTTTTATTTCTGCTGGCTACTTGGCTGTACATCCCAGGCCCCCCTTCATGAGAACAACTGCAGGTCTTGTCTTACGTGTTTCGTGCTCTCTGTTTCCAGAAGCACAACTATGCGCGTAAATGTAAAGCTATCCTGGCTATCGCAATGCCAGATCTTTACCCCTGCAACACTCCACAGCCCACACGCAGTATACTCTTTAGGTACCTTCAGGGAAAATTAGTAATACAGAGCAAGCTAAAATTTTTAATTGTCTGTCTAGATAACAAAGGCTGATAAGCACTGAGTCACATGAATACTAGAGGTTACTTGTCAAATATCCGGCCCTTTGACTAAATAAATATAAACTTAACACAATTATTCTCTATATACCAGACACGCTATGAATTGCCTATTCAATACTGCTTACATTTTTCCTGTCTTACTGAACAAAATGAAAAACAGTTATGATAAAACCAATAAAATAAGAATATTAGAGAAGGGTCAACTATCTAGATGCTAAAAAGAAAGAAGACAGAAGGGAAGAAAAAAGGACAGGAAAGGGAGAGGGAGGGGAGGGAAGGGAAGGGGAGGGGAAGGGAGGGGAGGGAGGGGAGGGAGGGAAGCTGCGGCGAGCAGCACATGAACACTCACACGGGTAAGGACTCCTTTATTTTGCTATCCAAAATGTCTCTGTACATGGCAGCTGACATCACCTCTTCCATTGGGCACATGATGCCATACTCCTCACAGCCATTCTCTTGAACCAGGGGGTCTGTTTTATGTGGATCGAACATTATATTATTGGGTGTGACTAGCAGCACGCCACTGACAGTGCCCTAAGACGGAAAAAGAAAGAACCATTCAATCTTCAAAGCTCACAAGTTCAGTTCAGAGTCCAGATGCCTCTGCTATGCATTCCCTGACCTCTGGCCATCTATCTACCTTATACCCAGAGCAGTCAGGCACTAAGGCTCCCTCCTGAAGCATGCTTTCCAGGAAACTATGCTTTTCCTCAGCAGAGTCAGGATGCAAAGAATATCATAGTCTACCTAAAACACGTGAAATTGAGATTTACAAAGGGAGACAACGGCTAGATTACAAAGCTAAGAAGGGACTGTCAAACGTGTGCTTCAGAAAGTCAAGTTGTGCAGGACTATGCACACCACCTCCTGTGTTCTTCTCCCAATACTAGTTCCAAACAGGGCTACATGAGAACAGCGTGTACATTTTATATTGTGTATTAATAACTCATTACCAGTGGTAAAGGAGTAGTTTCATAGCAATATTGCTTGAGAAATAGCTTAAATTTGCTATTCATTAGCTGAGATCTTCCGTATGCAAAGTTTTAGGGCCCATTTCTTCATCTACAGGGTTGGTTAGACAAAATTCATATTAAAGTGTAACTTTCTATTCACAATTAAAGACTATGAATTTTAAATGAGTTTATATAAATAGAGATACAAATCTCTAGGAGTCTACTTTTGTCAACTGAGGTTTGCAGACAGTTGGCAGCATTAGCACGCGTTAGTATCTGCTGCTTCCTGGAGGGCATACTCTGTCCATACGCGGCCGACTGAAGCTCACGATCCTAGCTGAGAACCACAGCCGTGAAAACAAAGGTGAGACGAGCGGGCATCTGTCCACAGAACACAACAAACGAGCGAGCAGGATGCAGAGTGCGGGTACCAAGTTCCTTCCCGTGTCACAAGACGCATGCGCATACCCCATGTGTGAAACGCCTGACTCTCAGGTTCAAACTCCTGTTCCAGCATTTCACAAGCACAGAGAAAGCGTGACAAACTTCTGAAAATCAAACAGCTATTCAAAGTTGTGTCGCCTTCTCCTGAAATGCCAGGGGAAGGGAAACCCGGGCATCCTGCCTGATTCGGTGTCACAGTCCAAACTCAGCAGTCACGCAGACAGTGCCTTTTACAGGACGAAGTGACCGTCACTTAGTGATGTTTGGAAGATCTCCTGATGACTGCAGCTACCCAAGAAAAGTGAGGAGAGGCGGCAGCAGCAGGCGTTACAGGTATGAAAGACTCACAGTAACCCTATGCAATATTAAAACAGGAAGTGCGAGTGGACACGCGGTGTTGGGGCAAACGATCTAAACAGTTGAACGAACACCTCTCTACTCATAGTGTGAAGGTGAGTGTGCGTGTGCACATGCGTGTGGCCTGTGTGCCAGAACACGCGTAAGGAGGTCAGAGGACAATGTGCAGAAGCTAGTTCTTTGCTTCCAAGGGCCTTTAAGTAACCACGGGCCATCTCGAAGCCCCTCTCCGACACTTTTAGCTCAGACAATGAATCTTTGACAGGAGAACGTCAGCCTACCCAGCCTGGAGCAGGGTTTTCATGGACCCATCTACAGCGGTGTATATTGCTGAAGCACAGAGGAGCACACGCCAGTGAGAGCCAGGAAAGTGCCACCGAGGACACCGACACTGCTGGGGACAGTCCCACAGCACGGAAACAAGGCTAGAGTACACGCCCTGGAGCAGAACCTTGCAAGGTCTCTAAACTTCTGTCCCCTTTACTGCTTCAATTTCTGCAAACTACAGATTTTGAGAAACGAAGCCAAGCAACTGGCTACAACTTAGCAAGCGCATTCGAGGTTCTCTGAAGGAGATTTTGGGAGTTTTACTTTTATAGGAATTTTAACTGACAATCCCGTATCCTGGGTTCTGTGTTTGCTTTGGCAATACTGACGATCAAACCCAGAGCACCAGGCACTCAAGGCAAGTATTCTACCGCTGAGGGCAACCCAGCCCACAGCAGATTTGGCTCATAACATCAACGCACCCTCTGCTACATTTTAGAGGACTCTCCCGAGGAGATAATGCTAACTAGCTACAAGGGAACAAAGGTTCCAGTGTAACGACAATGCCTCCAATTCTCCACACACATCGATGCTACCCAACGGCCTCCGGAGCTCCTTCTACTGCCTCTCTGAACCTAGGTGACACCTGACCCACTGGGTTCATCAATCTGCTTTAGCTTAGGAATCCACCCTCAGGGCTAGAGGGATGCACAGGCGACTCCTTCAAGTGTCTTTCCTCCAAGTCAAATTCACGAAAACCTCAAGAACTGACCATCTCAAACGCACCTACAGTGGGGCACCCACCACAAGACACACACCTTACAAAGACTGCCTGAGAGAGCAGGCCCGGGTGAACCATGCTAAAACTTCCTAGAGCAGTGTGCCCCCCAGCAGACTCCAGGCAGGGCAGATGCCTGGGGCCCGAGTGGGCTTTTCAGGCTGACTCGGTCCATCAGAACAATGCGAGAACACTAGGCATTTCCACATTTCTAACAGCACACTGGAACCAAAAGCAGAAAACTAACGTTTGCAGTGGAGCCAGGGCCACGTCCTTGCCAGGAATTCACAGAAAAACAAGAACTCAGTAAAGACACAGAAGAATGCTAGCATTGCCCGACTTGGTCTCACTGGTACTGCAAAATGTTCCACTCAGTAGAAGCAAAATGTGCGTGTTTTTCAAGCATACACACAAGATTTACCACAGACTCTGGGTGAGGAAATAAGTCACCTATATCAAGCCTTCACAAAGGAGTAAGGAGGTTATCTGACATTTGACATGGAGTCAAATCAGACATTAGTTAACGAAGAGTACCTGCATATCGCCAAGTATTTAGAAGCGAACCAAAGCACTTCAAAAGGCAATTTACTTGCCCCAAAGTAGGAATGTTTATTCCTATTTTAATAGATTAAATGAACACACCTAAATACATTCTACCATGTAGTACATATCCAATAAGGACGAGTTATCTTTCAATTTCTGTGTCACACTAAGTTGCTCAAAGCTAGTACTCCTGCATAGTCAACGCTGCTGTTTCAAAGATGCTTAGTGTAGTGAATTCATTTACACATCATGACCTTTAGGAACTGCCACAGATGACCGGATGCTGAGTCAGGGGCACGGTCCATGCTAACTCAAACACACAGTCACCTTGTACAGATAGATCTCATGGATGGCTGACGTTTTTGACTTAAACTGCCCGTGTCAAGCTTTCACAGTTTAGGAACAGCCAAGATGTTGTTCACTACCTTGCCATTGGTGATGTATTTGCAATTAATTTTGAGAAACTTCTCAGTGAACGCTTCTTCTTCCTCAGAGGTTGAAGACACAACTCTTGCAGGCCGAATACTGCTGACAGCAGAGGAGGGAAACGCTTCTTTTGGATGGACAACATCGGGAGTCTTGAACAAAGCAAAACAAAACACACAAAAAAATGCCTTAGAAAGCTAGATAAGGGGGCTGGAGAGATGGTTCCGCGGTTAAGAGTTCTTCCAGAGGACCCGGTTTCAATTCCCAGCAACCACGTGGCAGCTCAGAACCATCTATAACTCTACCTCCAGGGGACCCAACACCCTCCCACAGACATGCATGTATGCAAAATACCAATGCACATGAAAATAAATCACTAAATAAAAGAAAACTAGATAAATACATAATGGAAATACTCTCCCCAGTAAGTACTGCTCTCTCTTCTTCTCAATCTTAAAGCCCCCAAATTCTCACAAATTATAATAATAAGGATATTTCCATTTTAATGAAGATTTTTAAATACATCATGAACTTGCACTTTGAATGCCTACAGCACAAGGATGCATAGGAATTATATCCACCTACACATGTGCACATACAACATTGTGACAAGCATCAAAATCTAAGTAACGTGTAACCCTCACAACCCCAATACACACGCTGAGCTGCTTGTGAATTTAACCACTGGTGTTGACAACACCAACACGGGTTCCGAGAGAAGCCAGAGCACAGAGAAAGGGGGAGCTGGCCATGAGTGGTATCTGTGATACAGCAGGCAAGAAGATACACTCATCAGGAGAGTGTTTTTCAGCTGTGTAAATGCTATGTGTGCACGAAAGTCTGCAGGCACATGGGCACACGTGTGTGCGCATGTGTTACTTGTACATGTGCAGCCCTGAGGCTGATGTTCAGCAGTGTGTCAATCTCCATTGCTTTCCCACTGTATTCACCGAGGGTGGTGGCCTCCATCCAACCAGAGCTCAACATGCGTCTGGTCTTCCCCGCCTCCATGTGTGCCTTCCAGGGTGGGAATTACAGGTAGGCTGCCATGACCAATTAGCGTCTGAGGAGGCTCTGGGGATGTGAACTCTGGTCCTTACGCTTGAGCCACTGAGCCATACCCCCACTCCAGAAGCACACTGTAAACTTCAAAACCAAAGTCCATCTGTGCCCATCTAACGCACACCAGACACAGCTCAATCTGACTACGAGACATTCTTGCAACACAATTCATGCCGCTCTTCTCAGGATGTCTCTGCGTGGCTAAAATACAGAATTCAATGGAGAAAAACTATTCCACTAAACACAAGTGCAACAGTATTTCAAACAAACGGGAAATGGAGTGGTGAGTATACTTTTCCATGAACGCATTACATAATAACAGGTAGCTCTGAGCCTAACAGCTATGTTAACTACAACCACTGGCTAATGGCTGATTTCAGCTCTAAGGTGCTAGGAAAACACCTACGTGACTAGGGACAACGTTAAAAGTATGTCCTTTATTACTTTACAGTTTGCTGTACACGCTTTACTTACTTAAAATGCTTACCCAAGTTCAAAGACATTTTCAATGCTACTCACAAGGTCACCACATAAAAGAAATAGATCATAACGGTTATATGGCATGTTCAATTTATCGATTAATGAAATATCCTCGACCTTTCCATATCTTCATGCTTTATACACATACCATTGTCTTTGGTACTTACCATGTTATCTAAAAGTTCTGTGTCGCATGCAAATACAGTCAGTACAGTTACTATCTCTAAGTAAGTGATATTAATGACTTCAATGGCTGTTCATGAAATCCCTGTCTATATGTGATATATGAATACCTCCAATTAACTTTTTAGCTCACACATAAGGTTTAGTTTTAAACATATGTTTGGCCAAACAATAAGATGAAACTGAAATGTCAATCCAGGTTGCCAATATTCACAGGAACTAGTGACTACAATCACAATAATGCACTGTCCCTTCAAATCTTCCACCGGGTGACGGAAAGAATGCTTCACTCCCCAAAACCAGATGATTAGAGATCATCAGGAGGAACAAATAGACAAAGAGCTACGAACACATTCTGTTTGTAGCCGGTCAATTACCCCCAAATTACGTGGATTTCCTATGGCTACCACTGTCTACTGTGAAATCATGTTATTCAGAGAAAAAATATACACAAAGCATATTGTCAAACGCTCTCCTTGAATGAAGATATACCTCGGTGAGCAACACGTTCTGACGTTCCCTCGGCCTCAAATTCTACAAGTCAACTGCTATCTACAGCAATCCCAATCTTCCCATTGTAACCCTGTTAAAAAGAATGCAGGAGTTTGCTCGGTGAATGCTCAGCAGAGCACAAGAGAGACACTTTCCTTTCTAAAGGAGGCCCAGTTGTTCAGAGGACTGTGATCCGATCTCAATACAGCTTACATAAGTGTGCAGTATTCAAAATAGCATCATCTCGGTGGAGAACTTCTTTGAAAGAAGCCTGGCTTTGGATTCAATGGTTTTGCAGCTCATTAGAGGGCTTGCTGATATTTCTCTGTAATTTTGTTTTAGCTACAAGGGACAGAAAGGTCCTTGAGTAGAAATCTAGCTATCTAGCTCTGGAAGTCTAACTCCGTGCACTTCACAACTGCTCCGAGGAGGCAGAGGACAGGAAGGATCCCACCCCGGAGCCTGGGACGAGTCGGTGGCGCCCGTCCCGGGGACAGGAAGGGCAGCTGCGAGCCTGCAGGGCTCGCACACCTGCCTGCCCGCGCCGTCCCCGGTCCCCGACCCCGGGTCCCCGACCCCGGTCCCCGTCCCCATCCGTCCGTCCGTCCGCGCGCAGGGACGAGAGGGGACACTCACCGGGTCCCTCGGGACTGGCCAGCGAGGGTGGCGGATGCTCGACGGGCCCGCAGTCCGGGTCGCCCGGAGCCGGCTCCCGCAGGTAGTCCTCGAAGCGCACCTGCCGGGCTTCTTCCCCTCCGCCGCCGCCGCCGAGCCCCCACAGGCGGCTGGCCGTGCCCCGCAGCAGCCGGCCGCTCTTGCCGGTGAACGTGGTCAGGTAGTCCATGCCGCCGTCGCCACGGTTCTCAGGGCGACAACGCCCGCCCGGCCCAGCTTGCCAAGCCGGGGGCGGGGGGCGGGGGTCGGGCAGCGGCTCGGCTCGTCCAGGCCGGCAGCGCGCGGGCCGGGCCTCCTTGGGGCCCGGGCGGACCATCGGGCCCCGCGCGCCGGGGGGGGTGTATGCGTGGGTGTGGGTGGAGAGGGCGAGCATGAAGTTCCAGAAAAGTTCTGCTCCTCGCTCCCGCGCCCCGCCGCGGGCAGACACGCACCGAGCAGAGTTTGTCTCTCTCCTCCCTGGACGGACCCAAGGTTAGCCACGTCCTGGGGATTTAAGTCTCCCGCGCCGGTTCTAGACGCGCTCCCCCCACTCCCCGTCCCGCCAAGGTGGAGCAGCCCGCTACCCACCTCCCGCCCAGCCCCGCCCCGCCCCGCCTGGTCCCGCCCCGTCCCGGACGCTGCCTGCCTGACTTTCTGGACCGCCACGGAAGGGAGGACCCCTTAGCCTCCTGCCCGAGGGCAGTGTGGGGCCCCCGCAGGCGACCTGGACACTCTGCAGGACTGGAGGGGAGTGCTGGCGGCGAGCAAAGTTTGAGCTACTGTTGGAACTGTGTGTGTGTGTGTGTGTGTGTGTGTGTGTGTGTGTGTGTGTGTGTGTGTAAGCCATATGAAAACCTAGCAAAGTTTTAGCTAATGGTGTCGGAACGTGTGTGTGTGTGTGTAATCAATAGAAAACCTAGCTAAGTTTTAACTAATGGTGTTGAAACTGTGTGTGTGTGAGTGTGCGTGTATCAGCATCAGCCATAGAAAAACTTGCACCTTAAGAAGCATGTGATGGCTACTTTAAATGCTAAGACTGCAAGCCCTTCCTTTAAATAAGGCCATAGCCCTGTTGGAAGTTCGCTGTGAGTTTATGCACGTCTGCTGAAAGGACTTTGGAGGAAGTGCAGCTCGGGGAAGGCTCTGTAGAACAGTCCTGCCTCTTAGGTGGGAAACAAGGAATTGTGACTTCTGACACACACTGACTACTGGGTTTGGTTTCCTGTGAGATCTGGTAGTCTCTTCCTGTCTGTTTATACTTTTGTTAGTTTCCCCACAAATTAAACAAGCCCTCGTTTGCCAGTACATTAAAATATTTGAAGAGAAGATGTGAATTGCCTAGGACATTAAAAGGTCAAGGACTGTGAGTAATGGAGCCCAGAAAAGGGGGAACTTATTTTGCCCAGTTATAAACCCTCCTGAGGCAGTTGCCCTCTGACGTGACTCATCTCCTTTCCAGTTTAAATTCTCACTTGATTGAATAAACTTCAGGATCCTGACACCAGCATCAACTTTATACCTGGTTAAAAATACAGAATGTGTGGGCAGCGTCCCAGAGTGCCCAATTCACAGTGCTTCTGAGGAAGAGGCCAAGGAAATGGCCTTCTCAGCAAGCATCCCCGTGTTCCCGAAGTGCTGCTTGGTTTAAAAATGGCCCCAGCCCTTACTTCTTTGCCTTTCGGGACCTCCTGGTTAGGCCATGTAATGGACACTGTGATTCCCCCAGACTCCTTCTATACCACGTGGATGATGATTAATTTTGAGTTGATTGCAGTACATGAATGAAAATCATACATTAATTCATACATTACATAGTGTATGCAGAGGCAAAAGATGGGATAATTTAAGATGAGAAAAGCTGGTTAGAGACGGGCCAAGCTAAGGCCGGGCATTTATAAGTAACAGCAAGCCTCTGTGTCATGATTTGGGAGCTGGGTGGCAGCCCCCTCAAAAGAGGGAAAAAAAACCAACCAGCCACAGCCTGGGACTGGTCCTTGAGGTGAAGGAAGCAGGACCCTGGAGCCAAGCTTACACGGTATCTTCATATGGGATGTTCGTTAAAGCTAGTCCACAGTGGTTGCCTAGGCAGCAGGTAGAGTGGGGGAGTGTCTAACAGTCGAGCTGAGTTTCCCAGGATGGACTGTTTAAAGACAAAGTCGTTCATGGTACTTCCTCAATCTGTACACTTCGGGCAGGTGGATTTTATGGTACGTAAATTATACGCCAACAACAAGACGTTAAACATGAGGTAAAAGGTAACCTACCGGCGAGTCTGACATGCAAGGAAAGTTATTTTTTAAGGACAACAGAGACTTAATGTGGCTGACCTAGGGTAAGAGCAAGGTTGATACTGTAGGGAAAGTAGAGGCCAAGATCAAAAGCAGATTTTAGGATTTTAGGGAGAGCAACAGTCGGGACAGGAGGGAGAGCCTTTTTCTGAGACAAAGTATGGGAAGGAGGAAAAATGAGCATTCCCTACTTGATGGCCTAGTAGAAGGTACTGTAACATTTTGGAGTGATGAATTTGGTACTTCACTTTAATGATGTCAGTGACACAAATGTAAAACATTGACCAGGAAGTTACTGATATAGGGAATATTATTGCAGTTCATTCATGTACTGCAATCAACTCAAAATTAATCATCATCCACGTGGTATAGAAGGAGAATCACCTGAGAGAAGCCCATCATTTAGAAAGAGATGTTTGTATTGTCCATTAAATTACTTCATCTGGAAGATGAAAAGTGTCACTTACTTCCTATATGTCTACATGCCAAGTAGAACTGGAGTAGGACTGCATACATATGAAATAGAGAAACTGAATTATAAGTGGTATTTGGTGAAAGATAATTAAAAGCTTGCTTCAAACTGCAGAATGTCATTTAAGCATATAATGATAAAGAGTATTCCACACTAAGGAGGATTTCTTATCGACAGACTCGGTCAGGCAATGCATTATGGGAAATGATTTGAAAAGATCAAAAACCTCACTCAAACTCTATTGATCCATGTGAGCAATAGAGTTACATTTCATCCATAATCTGATGAAAGGTGAGGGACATCAATAGGTGGTCTACTAGTCATTATGGAAGTGTGCATTTGAATTTCTCTTTTGTCCCTGTATAACTTACGGAGATCTATTCCCCATCACCCCTTCATCCTCAGTTTACTCTTCCCTCCCTACGAACTTCATCTCCACTGCCTCAAACATGCTCCTTCTCCTGGGTCCTGAGGCCAAACCATTTCAGTCTTACCTTCTATTTTCTATTCAAGGTCCCACTATATAGGCCAGACTTGCCACAAACATGGTATCCTCCATACTGCCCCAATCTCCTGAATGCAGAGATTGCAAGTGTGTACCACCATTCACAGAGAAAAAAAATAAGTTAAAAAAGCAAATATCGAAGTAGGCATTAGGTAGTACAGAATAGCTTGCGCATCGTTATTTTGCAAAAAAACCCTCTTCATTTGCCAAAACCAGTTCGCACTGTGCTAGGCTTTCCCTACTAGTGATCAATGTAGCTACTGCAACAGGAAAGCAGGAGGACCTGGGGTGCTGAGCTAGTGAGCCTCCCATGGGCTCCACTAGATGTGTTAGTGGAGGGACTTCAAGAGGCAGGAGCTGAACAGTCACTCTAGTAGAATCCGAGCAAGCTCTGCCTATATTTGCACTCTGCTTCTGTTTGTGTGGTGACGAAACGCTTTTAGTAACAAGTCCAAGTCTACACATTGGGCCAGGGTGATGGTGCATGCCTGTCATCATTGCACTTTCAAGGTAGAGGGAGGAAGGTCAGGGGTTCAAGGTCATCCCCAGCTGCATAGTGAATATTAAATCAGACTGGGTTATCTGATACCCTGTCCTCCAAAAAGTAGTCATAACCAAGTCCCACTCTCTGGAGATCTTGTAACAATTTAAGGAAATCACTTTACATACTTTTACGAAAGGCAACTAAACTTCTGATAGGGAAACTGGTGGGTTATAACCAGCCTCCTCACTCCCAACAGTATTCTAATACCTGGTAGTGTTCTTTGAAAGATGAGCCCCAGTGTGCAAATTGAAGAATCTGCTTGGTGTGTGTGGGGGGTACACAAACCTATCAGGGGTATTTCTTTTTTTAATTAAAGTTTTTTTTCATTCACTTTACATAACAACCCCAGTTTCTACACCCTCTCTTTCTCTCCCCTAACCCTGTCCACTCCTCAGGGGCATAAGGCCCTCCTTGGGGAGTCAACCAAGTCTGGTATACCAAGGTGAGGCAGGACCAAGCCCCTCCCTGCTGTATCAAGGCTGAGCAAAATATCCCACTCTAGTTGGTGGGATAGCTGGATGTGGACATGTAGAAGAATGCAAATAGATCTGTATCTATCCTCATGCACAATACTCAAGTCCAAATGGATCAAAGGCCTTCACATAAATCAGTTACGCTGAACCTGGTAGGAGAGAAAATGGGAAGTTGCTTTGAATGCATGGACACAGGAGACCACTTCCAGTAGCACAAATACCAAGAGCAATATTCAATAAATGGGACTTCCCGAAACTGAGAAGCTTCTGTAAGGCAAAGGACATCATCAATAAGACAAAACAGCAGCTTACAGAATAGGAAAAGGGATATTATTTTTTAAAGATTTGTTTATTATGTATACAGTGTTTTGCCTGAATGCCAAAAGAGGGCACCGGACCTCATTAGAGATGGTTGTGAGCCACCATGTGGTTACTGGGAATTGAACTCAAGACCTCTGGAAGAGCAGCCTGTGCTCTTAACCTCTGAGCCATCTCTCCAGGGAGGGATATATTTGTGTGTGTACAGAAAAATAGTCTTGGAGTGGGTGCTAATTGGAACCAGGCAATTAGCACTTGATTAATCCACTACTTAGTGTCTTTGTCATGTTGAGTAAGTTACTTAATATCCTGAACCTCAGAGTTCCCATTCACAAAAATGCAAATAACATACGACACACCTAGGAAACGGCCTTAGGAGTTCAAATCTGGAAATTCCACAAGAGCACCCGCTGCATACATACTAAGGGCAATGCAAACATTTAGTACTCACAATGTTCACTTCACTTGCATGCTACAAAAGTCACACGTTGTAGTTGCAATATGTATGCAAGTATTCTGTGAAATACAAACAATGGGGGAATGGATGAGATTTAGGAAGGAAGGCTGTTTAGTTCCGGGAAACACTCTCTGCCCTCACACCATCTCCTTTTCGCTTGTTTAGGACTTCCTGTATCTCCTGTCAATTATATCTGCTACCAACAGCACTGCCTTTCCACGGCTCAAAACGTGGAAGGTGCCGTCTGTTCATGGATGTCTGCAAATTGACCCTGTGCATCCTCTTGGCCTTATGCTAAGCAGCATCACCTCAGCCATGGTATCCACCTGGTAGTTACCAGCTAAACAGAAAGTCTCATGAAACATCCATCTTTACCTCTATGCAACTCTTACAATCATCTCCAGCTGCTCCCCTTTCTGGCAGACCACGCTTCCTAGAAATCTGGAAGCATTAATAAAGACTACTTTTAGAGGTGTGTGTGTGTAAAACAAGTGTCACACATGTACACAACCACTAGAACAAGAAAGAATTTTGAAATTTGCGTGAACAAGAAATTCTCCTATACTAGCTATTTAAAAGTTAAGATTATTGGTTTGATAGTTGTATAAAGGAATGTAAGTATCTTAACTTACATTTCCTTAATTTCGGTATTAATTGAGGGAATCGGAGTTGACGTTCCACACATAAACATTTATGTTCATGTTGCATTACATCGACTGCTTACTTTTAAAACTAACACATTGTTATCAATGTTGGATATAATACATTGTTATGCCAGGCAGGCCAAGGTGTCCACAAAATGACATGAGCTTTTAAAAATATTTCATTTGCTGGGCATTGGTGGCACACGCCTTTAATCCCAGTACTCGGAAGGCAGAGACAGGCAGATCTCTATGAGTTTGAGGCCAGCCTGGTCTACAGAGTGAGTTCGAGGACAGGCTCCAAAACAATACAGAGTAACCCTGTCTCAAAAAACAAAAAAAAATTCATTCATCTATTTATTTTCGTGTGTATGTACATATGTCAACATATACACACTACAGAATACATGTGGACGTCACAGAACAACTTGCAGAGGTAGATTCTCTCTCTACACCATATCCATTCTGAGAAACACACTCAGGTCATCAGGCCAAGCTGCAGGTATCTTTACACCCTGTGTTGTCTCTGGGAGTTTTCCCGCAGTATTAAAGTGAGTAAGAAGGAGAAGCAGAAGAGACTCAGGTAAACGCACAACTCCAGAGAACCATAAAACTCGATACAATTGCTATCCATGTCTAGGCAGAAGCTGCTCTGAGAAACTGCTTAGAGGAACCAGCCCTCTCCATGTGGCTTTGACTCTTCCTTGGAGGCACGGGTCTGCTCACTATCATTAGCACACTCTGACTTAGTTTCCCCTGCAGTTCTCTTTTCCACAATAAAGGACACACTCATCAAACCAAATCGGGTATCCATGCACACTCACACATCACATGCCAGTTAAAATCCTGGCAATACCATTTATTTCCAGTGTGAGGCAGTACACCCATGTCTGTGTTTCCAGACGTCAAAACAGAGCCTTATGCTGGACAACAGTCGTTTCACTAAATTAACGTAATTTTACGAAGAGTTTCCACGGGAAACTGGTAGGCTGCTGGACATCGCTAAATAAGTCCCTGTAGGATGATGTTCCCTCAAAATACAGGCTAGAATCATTAGGACATATGAAAATTTACAAGGGTTAATGGGGAAAAGGTTAGCCACTTCCTACCAGAGTAAGAAATGTACATGAGCGGTGACCTGAATACCTGAGACTCATTTCCTACTCTTCTTTCCTATAAAGAGGCAGCTCAGATACGGGGAGGAGGAGGGGGGAGATGACACAGCTGTATGATGGCGACATTGACAGATCAGATGAAGGTCTCCGTGCACAGGAATCTACACAGACACTGCTGAATCACCGCACCTTGGCATCCCTTTCCAACGCCTTTGAACCTCCAACATGAAAACCGTTTTTTTTTATCCCCATTTTACGCATGCCTTCCTCATTTGAATTTTTCTCTCAGAATGAAGGTATGCACTTTCACTAAACTGCCTGTTCTGCGTGTTTCAACTCATTTCCGCGGCATCTATTTGCAGAACATCTACCAAGCAGTGGGAGCCCTGACAGACAGCTAAACTGCAATGACCTTACTTTCTCTCTTGGTGTCAAGCGGGCCCTACATCAAATCATCCCATCCCAGCAGGGTGACGTGAGGCTCCCAGACAGTCCCCCCGGCCCCCAGCTCCCACCCCTGTGCTGGCTCTGTGACCTGGGTCAGACTCACACTGTCCGGTGATCTGGCATCCACACCCATGTGTTCATCCTCCTGCTTCCCCACTCCCCCTTTCGTCCCATTTCCGCCTGCTCCTCCTCTGCTTCCTCTCCCGTCTCCTCCTCCTCCTCCTGGACCACTCTCCTCCTTGGATGTGCTGTCTGCTTTCCATTTATTTATTTATTTATTTATTTATTTATTTATTCTTGTGTTCCTGTGAACATGTGTTCGTGGACGTATGTACACATACATGTGGGGGCCGGAAGTTGACACTGGCTGCCCTCCTCCTTAGTTTCTGAGCCCATCAATTCAGGTAGACCGGATGCTCACCTTTCCGCCCCCGCCCCCATCCCCACTGGTTTCCATGTCTCCATCTCTTAGGCGCCTGAATTCCCGGAGCGCACATCCAAGCCCAGTATTCCACACGTGGGCGCTGAGGATTTGAACTGAGGTCCCCGTGTTCGAGTAGCAAGTATTTTACTATCCCTCCTAGGGTACTTTTGGTTTTTGAAGATGCCAGGGGACAATTCCTCTTAAAAAAGTGGGCTAGCATTTTCACAGATTTGAAATGAGTCACGGGATTTAGACAAGTTAAAGTTAAAAATGTAATGATAATTTTATTTTAATACAAATACAAAAGCAAACGACATTCTGTAGCAATGGTGATTTAGTACCCAAGAATTTCATTAGTTTTATATATTTTATATACTTTAAATCTTTTAATTCCCTTCATTTATTTTATTTTTCCAAACGAGGCCCTCAGCACCCAGGCCTAAGCATCTGAGGACACATTTTATGGAAGCCATTAAGAATTAGGTCCTTCAGAAATACTACTCTAAATTTAAACAAATAATTATACCCTTTGCCCTAAATACAACACTTACTTATCCAAAAATGAGTCCATTGCAGCTACAAGAAGTCAGCAAGCAAACCCTGACTCTGACGCCATTTCTCTGTGCAGAAGAGATGAAATGAGCTCTTAAAGAAACAGAGGGTTACCAGGCTTCTCTATTAAAGGCTGTTGGCTCACGTAAGCATCATTCAGCCCTCTCTTTACATTTAAGAAACAATCCTGAAGTCCAGTGGATGGCTGCAGACTCATCATTGGATGTCACCGCTCCTCACTGGCACAGAGAGCTATTACTTCACTTCTCTTTATAATCACAGGCAGGGTTAAATAGAGCTATTGCGAACTGTGCACCCACAATGGAATTTTGAGTTATAGTTAGTTTAATTTAGGTGATGTTTCTTTTGGGGGGGTTAAAGAAAAGAGACACTGTTGAACAAATATCACTCTATGTGCATAGGTATACTTTTGGCGTATTAGACCTAAACTGGGGAGTGGAAACATGGAGGAAAACACGTTGGACAAATACAGTCCTTGCAACCTCTCATTTCCCCTTGTGCATGGAAAGGAAGGTATTAGACACCTCTGGTGTTCATTGTGAGGCTCAGACCCTTTCTAGAGTCCCCAGATGCCACAGCACTGGAAGCGTTAAACGTGGGTGGCATGAATCTTAAAGGCCCACGTACCTAGATGAAGAGCTACAGGCAATCGATGGCTACTGAGACAGAGAAAGAATCAGTGTTCCCTTAACAGGCTCTCCAATTCCATGCAGTCAGCACTACACATACACAGATGAGCAACCTAAATATCTCAGCTGGTGGTACCCATGTATATATGTAACAATAATAACAGATGACCAACACTAAATAACTCAGCCGGTGGTACCTATGTATACATGTAACAATAATAACATATAAGCAATACTAAATAATTCAGCCGGTGGTACCCATGTATATATGTCACAACAATAATAACTAAAGAACAAGTAGCCAGGAATTTGAGAAGGGAGGAACGGGGGTTGGGGGGTTTGAGAGAAGTGGGAAATCATGCAAATAAAGTGACTATATACAAAATCATCAAAACACAAAAGAAAAACTCTTCTTACTCTAATATAGGACAGTCTGAAAATCCAGTGTTTCAAGTTCTCTTCCCACGTTCTGACTTGAGATAGGAAAGCCACGCACTCACCATGATAGATTGGATACAGACATTGCCACAATCTGGGATGGAGTCTTCTCCTGGTGTCAGAATAAGGAATCAGTACAGTCGCTTGACGGAGCCACTGCAGATTTCTGCTCTGCCATTGGAACAGGCACAAACCACTTATTTACTCAGGGCTTGAGAGGGCCTGTGAAGAAAATGAAACTGGTGATGTCTCTAGGACAGAATCTTAAGAACTTTTCAATATGCTTCTTTCAACCAGGCAAAAAAAAAAAAGAAGAAGAAAACCACTATCAAAGACAGATATCTCTGCATACAATATTTTAGCTATCTATGGCGTATATCGTCCTATGATCTTGAACTACAATTGTCTTTGAACAAAATTAACTCCACAGTACTGTTATCATTTTTAATAGCTTAGGCTACTTTCTAGTCTTTTTATTTTTTGATGAAGAGTTTCTCTGTGTAGTCCTATGTGTCCTGGAACTCACTCTGTAGTCCAGGCTGGCCTCGAACTTACAGAGATCCACCAGCCTCTGCCTCGCAAGTGCTGGGATTCACGGCCCTGCTATTTTCTACTATTCTAATAATAAATACTTATTACACATACACTATGTTTGTTAACATGAATGTGGGTTAGGAATAAAGATGAATGACACTTGAATAATACACTGATCCTACTTTCAAGTAATATTTTATACAAGAGGAGCAGTATAGTAAAATAGAGTAGATTTTCTACAAAAGCCACTACAGGGTATATATAGGCATGGGAAGAGAGTCTTCAGGCTTGGTAGAGGGATGTGACTAGAATTTCTGAAGAAGATACCCGTAAGTTACTACCAAAAAGCTTACTTAAACCTTAAAAAAATCCAATGTCCATGTGTCTTAGAAGGTCAGTTTATCGTCTCTTAAATAAGTAAGTTCGAAGCAAAGAAGTTCACAGAGAATGGAGTAATTCCACTGGGTAAAGAATCTTTCTTTCGTGTCTCAACATATGTGCTCCCATCCTGACCTTAATCTGGATTGCCAAGCGCCAGTAAGAGCCCATGCTCCAGCCAGCAGAGAGGGAAAAATGTAAAAAGAATGTGTGCTCTAAAATTTACATACAATGCTGTTACTTGAATTTTATTGATTAGAGTCTGGTTATCTGGACACTGTTTTCCAAAGGAAGATTAAAAATGCAGCCATTTCTTAGCCAGGTGTTGGTGGTACATGCCTTTAATCCCAGCACTCTGGAGGCAGAGGCAGGCAGATCTCTGTGAGTTTGAGACCAGCTTGGTCTACAGAGTGAGCTCCAGGACAGCCTCCAAAACAGTACAGAGAAACCCTGTCTCTAAAAACCAGAAAAAAATGCAGCCATTTCTCTGGATATTTTTATATTAAAAGACATATTAATATGTCTACCACTGGGGAATATTGGGGAATGAAATCTTGCAGAGGCTACCCCTACACTCAACATGCAATAACCTTGACCCTGAAGTATTTTATAAATTTGGTGCCTTTCACAGAAGGGTGGACATCCAATGTAAGGGAGGTGGGAATCAGCCTATGGGTGGCTAATCATTTTACATATATGATTTATTTATAATCATAAGCATTGTTGTAATAATTGTTATTTATACTAACAAACATCACACTTGGTCTTGCCTAGATCAGTCAATGGTCAACAAATATGTACTGTGCCCCAAGTACTCACCAGAATAAAAACAGGTACTAAGGACAGTGCGATGGATAACCTTGAGTGATGGATAACCTTGAATGCCAGTTGACTGGACCAAGAAACACGTACCAAGTTACTAAAGCACACAGATCAATGTGATCCATGAGAGCGTATCTGTAGATGTTAGGTGGTGTGGGCTCGGTCCTAATCCACCAATGGATTAACAGTTTGAACAAGGTACTTGGGAGACTGAGGGACAATGGTGTGTGGGGACATGTCTGGAGGAGGTTGGTCATTTTGGGTTTCTCTGTAAAGGCTGTACCTTACCCTAGTTCCCTCCCACTAGTAACTGATTCACCATCCTTGCTTCCTGTCTGCCATGAGATGAGGAGCCTCAGCTATATCCTCTGGTTACCATGGTATCCTGCCTCACCTGGAGTCCAGATGTAATGAAGCCAAGGAATATGTACTAAAATTCAGAAGCAATACACAATCAAATACACAGTCAAATTTCCTTCTATATTTAAGCTTCATTTGGTCACAGCAATTTAAAACTAATAAAGAAAAACACAAGATTAATAAAGTATAGTTCACATAAAGAACTCACTACCACAGAAGCATCCTACAAAACAGACAAAATTATACACGCAATAAGAATCAGTGGTTTCGTACTAGTGTGATTTGGTCACTATGGCAGAACAGAAAACTAAACTTAGTTCTGATGATTCCGAATTTGACCAGAAACTGACTGACAGAAAAAATTTGATCCTCTCAGAGAATAAGCAGACATGAAGGTCCACATGCTAAATTGTCTGAGTACATTCTAAAGAAACTGTCAAGTACATCCCTTCTTTAATTAACTGCTAAGTCACACATACGTTTATTGCTAGGAGTACAGAAACTCCACATGGTGTCACCTCAAGAGTCCTCAACCTTTCCATGTACTGCTTGACACTTACCAAGCACTCAGTCACCATGAACAATACGCGTGGAGTATTTTCCAATGCAATACATTCTTCTGGAAATGTTTAATTCTTTCCTTAGAGAGCTGTGTATCTGGGTATCACTATTTAAATGCACAAATCAAATTTCCTTTATTGAATTATACTTTGAATGTTACCGAGGGTTTCCATCGAAAGATGTAATTAGAGAAGATAATAAGCCAAGACAAGAACTATGAAATGAGCTATGGGGTTTGTTGGAGTATTCACCAACACGAAAATACTGTCTTTATGGGCACTCACAGGAAAAAGATCTGTCAGATTTCCACACCAGGAGAAATACTGTTCTCAACTTAAAGGTGAATTTGTAACTTTCAGCCAAAGTGGACTATAACTAAGAACATCTACCTGTCATTTCATTGTAGTGAAATGCAGCTTTTTTTCATGTTAGATGAAAGCTTTCAAAGCATATGAAGGGAAACGACATCTCCAAGTGCCCAGGCAGGTTGCAAGTTGTAAGTGTAGCTACAATTGCTCCTGTATGGTCACTCTTATAGAACAGAGCTAAAGAAAATAACCTGTGAACATAATGAAATGCCCTCTAATTAATATAGTCATTAAACACATGGATAGCTCTTGAAGATAATAATGTATTACTGGGATGGTGCTTTAGTAAATTATTTAAGCATCTATTATGCACAAATATGATTCTATGTTTCTATTGCAGCTGAACAAGTTGCAATGACTTTGTGATTCAGTAACACAATATACAAAGCAACTTTCGAGACAATAAAGCTGCAAAATATTACTTGGAAAAACAATCACAGTGTTTAAAAGCTTGGGCCTTAGAAACACATGTACTAAATATATAAACAAAAATTGCATTAAAAAATTCACCAACTGTATACCATGAATTATATCCCTGAAAAGGAATACCAAATACAGTATCCTAACTACTAACCAATGACCCATGCTGCTCTAAGTAATATGCTATACTGGTGGTGAGGTAAACTAGTCATTCAACTTCTACTCTAAATACTGCAAGAGACAATGGCCATGGATGGGTAAAATATACTAGTATGGGAAGAATTTTTTTATACTCAAAATTCAAAACAGATGCCAGCAAAGCAAATTACCATGAGAATATTAAACTCTTGATTTGCATGCAATTTGGATATCTTTAAATATCACATGACATTGGTGGTCTCCTTCCCTTTTGGTTTACTTACAAGCTAACTCCATGAGTCCATATTTAAATTCTAGACTCTCTGTTCTCATGGTACTTGTTTGCTTCTGACACTCATTACAAATACCATCATGTACCACAAGTGGTGATTATTCTCACTCACCCAAGGGATTAAATTCCCTCTACTCTCTCACTTCTCCACAAGCACAACTTCCACAGATCCTGTGAAACCTTACCTCAATGCTCCATGCCTTTCTGAATTAAGTGCTGTCAAATTAAGTAATTAAAATGTGTGCTGTTTGTCAGTTCCCAAAGTTGCTGTCAGTTTAGAAAAAAAGAAAGCCTTGTGTCTTTTGTATCTAAATTCTTGAGTATCGAGAGCTCTCCAGGTATTAATAAGCCCAGGGACAGTCTTGAGAGTGTATCATGTCGGGACACAGAGAGACACGACCTAATTTATTGGACAATAAGTTCACAAACTATCACTTTTACCAACTGTAATTTAACCAAGCAATCTTAATCTCACTTGCCAGTTGGCCACTGGCAATCACAGGTTTATTTTTTATTCCATTCTTAGATACAGACACACACACATTTCATTTCACAAGACGTGTCCCTTACATAACAGCCACAGAAGAGTTAAAGAGAGTTCAAAGAAGTCTCACCGAAGGCAGGACAGAGAGCTGACATAGAGGGTCACTGTAGGCGGTTGAATATGAGTCTCACACACACAGCGTGGGGCCTGTTGGAGTCACACAGAACTTAGCAACTTCAAGGTAGCGCCGGTTCAGGGCAGAGCAGGCTCAGGACAAGAAGACTAATGTAGGACCAGGTAGACACTTTGCAGTTCAAGGGGGTCCTGCCAAGCAGCAGAGACCATGCTGGGCTAAGGCAAAGGGGGCAGTCTAGAGTTCATGTCCTCTCCATTCCGTGATGCACACAGAGCATGCTGGATGACAGACAGGTCAGTGATTACTGCTGTGTCCTTACTTTAGATGTCCCTCCTTTTATTATCCAAGTGATGCGGTTAGAGCCTGGAGTGGTCTGTGGGTTTGATAAGGTCACAAGCATGGTTTTGAGACTCCCGTATGCCTATAGCATCCCAATTTTCTGTAAGTTAATAGGCTGCCCTTTCTTATCGGCAGGACAAAGTTTACTTATCAGCCATGTCATACTAGACAGATGGTGATTTCCTGCTTGTACAAACAAGAAGCAGAGTCATTCTGCCTCACAGTGGTAATCACCATAGATAGAACTGCTGCTTTGCAAAAAACAATTGCTTGGAGCAAGAACAGCCTGAAATCTACCATTTCACCAGATAAAGAGTACTTAGGGGAAGGTGAGAGCCCAAAGCAGGGCACAGTAGGATCTCACAAAGTCAAAACAGTTCTATCGGCCCA